CATAAGCTAAAGATTCGCATATAGAATGTGAAATCCTTGTATAAATTTGGAAGAATGCATAATGTCATACACGAAATGCAAAGGCAGGACCTCAACATCTTGGGAATCAGTGAAACAAAGATAGACATGTTGTACTTTTTTGGAAATAACGGTAATCACAGACATGGTGTCAACAATTTTGTCCCTATTTCAGACCGAGTCATGTTCCTACAGATACAGATCAACACAAGGAAACTAAACATATGTAATACAAATATATAGCCCTACTGCTTAAACCATTAAGTTCAAAAGATATCACTACAATAGTTGAAGACTTTAGGGTTCTCAGATCACAAAGGGAAGGAAGAAACGAAAGGAGGAAAGAAGACAAGACGTACGAAATGAGTAACAGATTAAAATAAAAGAAAACTTGAAAACATTGGAAAATAAGGAACCATGATAATCATCTTAAAGAAAGAAATTTCCAAAGGATATCAAGAATGAATAACTAACGAAATTGTTACTCTCGTGAATAAGATAACAATCTTCAAAGGAAAGCAGAGTAAGTATAAGTATAAGGTAACACGACGAATACTTAGCACAAAGGTCAGGGAAGTGATGGACGAATATTACAAACAAAAATGTGAAGAAATTGAGGGGTTACAAGCAAAACATGACATTTTCAACATACACAAAAAAGACAAAGAAGAAGAACACAAGAAAGACATAGTCACAGAAATAGAACAAAAACTAGAAATATGGAAGGATTATGTTGCACAATCGTTTAACGGCGAGAAGCGAGAAATTAACCTTGAAAATATAGAAGGATAGTTGGTTTTACGACCAGATTCATATTCTGATAGTTCTAACTATCACATAGGGTGAGTTAACCAGTAATTGACCAATTTACCAATTAAATGATGAAAACAAGGTCCCTTTATCCTCTAGTCAAAAAATTTTGTTATGTGCATAGTTTGGATTTGAGACAATGGAACAATGTTCTCTTTACCAATGAATCCCCAGGTTCTGCTTACATTCTCCAGATGGACGGAAAAGAGTGTGCAGAAGAAATAGAAAAAGGTTTGCGGAATGCACATTCAGCCCCCGTCTGAGCTATGGAGGTGGTTCAGTAATGATGTGGGCAGGAATAAGCCGAGAAGTCTGCACTGATTTGGTCATCATCGATAGATCATTAACTGCCCACCAATAATATCGACGAAATATTGGTTAATTACGTGCAACCCTTTAGTGAGTTTATAGGCGATGATTTTAGCCTAATGCAGGATAATGCACGGCCCCATACAGCCATGTGTGTTACACAATACCTCAATAAAGTGGGTATTAATAAAATGACCTGGCCAGTATGTTCGCCTGATCGAAATCCCATCGAGCATGTGTGGGATATGCTTGGTAGGCGAGTGAGAGACCGCGAAGTAGCTCCAGCTTCTGTACAGGGTGTCCAAATTTCGATGGGTTTGCAGAGTATCTCAGTTATTATGAAAGATAGAGAGTTGCGGCTTTCGCGAACCTGAGCTACTTTTTTGTGAAACTTACAATGGCGCAAACCAAATTTTCATAGACCTCTTCGTTTTTGATATACAGGGAGTGTTTCAAAATTTACGATTTTCAGACACCTCCTATATCTCGGCTAACCGGAAACGTAAAAACGGGTTCTAATAGATTTTTTCACGTAGAATCCAATGGTGCACGTAGAATTTTTCTAGTCATCACGGTTTTTGAGTTATAAAGAGTTAAGTATTTTAGAAGTTGAGTATTCAGTATTTGAGTTGTGTTTATAACTCAAAAACCGTGATGACTAGAAAAATTCTACATGCACCATTGGATTCCACGTGAAAAAACGCGTGTGAAGTTGGCCATAGATTTCAGCCATAGATTTTAAACTGAAAAAAATGCGTGATCGGGGTATTCAATCGATCTAATTTCAACGGCATCGTATTCATGGTCGCCTCTTGTTTCAGATTCGAAAAGAAAATTTTCCTAACCATTTCTTATTTTCCGGGAAAATCGATTTTCTTCAAACTTTCGCAAAATTCGGCACGTTCGGGGTTCTTAATCGATCTAATTTCAACGGCATCGTATTCCTGGTGGCTTCTTGCTTCAGATTCGAAAAGAAAATTTTGCTAACCATTTCTTATTTTCCGGGAAAATCGATTTTCTTCAAACTTTCGCAAAATTCGGCTCGTTCGGGGTTTTTAATCGATCTAATTTCAACGGCATCGTATTCCTTGTGGCTTCTTGCTTCAGATTCGAAAAGAAAATTTTCCTAACCATTTCTTATATTTCGGGAAAATCGCTTTTCTTCAAACAATCCCAAATTTCAGCCTGTTCGGGATGTGTAATCGATCTAATTTCAACGGCATCGTATTCCTGGTGGCCTCTTGCTTCAGTTTCGAAAAGAAAATTTTCCTAACCATTTCCTATATTCCGGATAAATTCATTTTCTTCAAACATAAGCAAATATCGGGCTGTTCGGGGTTTCTAATCGATCCCATTTCAACGGCATTAGATTCCTGGTCGCTTCTTGTTGCAGATTCGAAAAGAACATTTTCTAACCATTCCTTATATGCCGAGAAAATCGATTTTCTTCAAACATTCGCAAATTTTGGCCGATTCGGTTCGGGGTTTCTAATTGATCTAATTTCAACGGCATCGTATTCTTGGTGCCCTTTTACTTCAGACTCAATAAGAAAATTTTCCTAACTATTTCTTATATTCCTGGAAAATCGTTTTTCTTCAAACAATTGGGTAAGAAATGGTTAGAAAAATTTTATTTTCGAATCTGAAGCAAGAGGCGACCAGAAATACGATGCCGTTGAAATGAAATCGATTAGAAACCCCGAACAGGCCGAAATTTGCGAATGTTTGAAGAAAATCGGTTTTTCCGGAAAATAGGAAATGGTTAGGAAAATTTTCTTTTTGAATCTGAAGTAAAAGGGCACCAGGAATACGATGCTGTTGAAATTAGATCGATTAGAAACCCCGAACAGGCCAAACTGTGCATTTATTTGAAGGAAAACGATTTTCCAGGAATATAAGAAATGGTTAGGAAAATTTACTTTTTGAATCTGAAATAAAAGAGCACCAGGAATACGATGCCGTTGAAATTAGATCGATTAGAAACCCCGAACAGGCCAAAATTTGCAATTATTTGAAGAAAAACGATATTCCAGGAATATAAGAAATGGTTAGGAAAATTTTCTTTTTGAATCTGACATAACAGGGCACCAGGAATACGATGCCGTTGAACTTAGATCGATTAGAAACCACGAACAGGCCAAAATGTGCATTTATTTGAAGGAAAACGATTTCCCAGGAATATAAGAGATGGTTAGGAAAATTTTCTTTTTGAATCTGAAATAAAAGGGCACCAGGAATACGATGCCGTTGAAATTAGATCGATTAGAAACCACGAACAGGCCAAAATGTGCATTTATTTGAAGGAAAACGATTTCCCAGGAATATAAGAGATGGTTAGGAAAATTTTCTTTTTGAATCTGAAATAAAAGGGCACCAGGAATACGATGCCGTTGAAATTAGATCGATTAGTAACCCCGAACAGGCCAAAATTTGCAATTATTTGAAGAAAAACGATTTTCCCGGATAATAAGAAATGGTTAGGAAAATTTTCTTTTCGAATCTGAAACAGGAGGCGACCATGAATACGATGCCGTTGAAATTAGATCGATTGAATACCCCGATCACGCATTTTTTTCAGTTTAAAATCTATGGCTGAAGTCTATGGCCAACTTTACACGCGTCGTGAAAAAATCTATTAGAACCCGTTTCTACTTTTTTACTAAGTTTCCGGATAGCCGAGATACAGGAGGTGTCGGAAAATCGTAAATTTCAAACACTCAATGTATATCAAAAACGAAGAGGGCTATGAAAAGCCCTGAAAAGCGCCATTGTAAGTTTCACAAAAAAGTAGCTCAGGTTCGCGAAAGCCGCCACTTTCTATCTTTCATAATAACTGAGATACCCTGCAAGCCCATCGAAATTTGGACACCCTGTACATGAACTGCGAATAGTTAGAAGAATGGCAAAACATTACACTGCAGTCCATTTGTAATGTTATCGACAGCATGAATCGACGTATGGAAGCTGTGAGAAAATATTAAGATAAATGTCTTGTAAAAAAGTGGTACATACTGTTACGTTTTAGGTTAGAATTGAATTATTTTGCATTAATAAATTTTCTTATTTTCTGTCTTTTTAATTTTTTCTCATTTGCTTTTCTCACCTTTTTTCTTTTCATTGGTTGTCTCATCAAACTGTCATTAGAATAACAATGAACAAGGCCACCTTATTAAAAAGTAACATATCTTAAGTAAATTGTTAGTGACAAATTCAAATAGCTCTTAAAAATGAACGAATGCATTTAGAGACATGAACCAAAAAACAAAATGTAGGGAACGAATACCTAACAAAAATTATATTTTGAAACAATTTGTACACTAAATTATTCCACAGGTGTTTTAAAATTAGGATCCTAGAACGACGTTTCAATTAACCCTGTATACCAGCATTTACTAAATGTCATTTTACTAAATGACCAGCATTTAACAAAAGGCTGGATATTGAACATGAAATTACACATTTTCATCTACAGTTTGCTGAAAAAATCATGAAAATTGAACGAAAGATAAAAAAGTTATCACAATTCAAACTTTACCAAATATTAGCTTTTTGCGTTTTTTTTTGCACCTGAGTGTAGTTTTAGATGCAATTAAACATGGTTTGATTACCCCACCTTGTATCTAGTTGGTTAATTTCATATTTATTCCTATACCTTTTTATTTGTTTATTACAGAGTTTATTAACAAACTCTCACTTTTATGTATTAGAAAATACATGTACTATTTTTTATATAGTATAGTATTTTATCTATTTCATTTAGGCTATTTCATGCCAATATTAATTTGCGTTAAAATTTGGGCAATTAGGGTTTAGGTGTATCTTAAAACAAGTTACCACACCTTGGTGTATTCTACATTACTAACCTAATTGTTCTACTACTTCTGGAGGAAAAACTCTTGAAGCAAAAGCTCTCCTGAAGATGGAATTAAATTCATTGGTTAAACCACCAATTCCCATCTTTTGGAAGTCCCAATCTGGATTAATAATAGATTGCCTTTGAACTTTTCTATAAAAAAGAATATTTATATATGATTGTAAATAAAAGATGAGTATTTTACCCTTTTGCTTTTCCTGTTAAATTCAAAGAAGAATGTTCAGCTTTTTCAAAAATAACCAAACTGTTGGGTAACAACCTGCCAGTATTAACTTTATGAGGCTTCCCATGTTTTATAGCATTTATATCAACTCCTAATTAAAATTATTAAAGAGATACATTAAAATGCTTAAAAAAATGTTTGTAAAAAATCGCACCTTCAAGGTCTTTAATGGTAAGTTGAAGAACTTTTTTATTCATAAAAGAAAACGCTAAAAGTTGCCCTTTTGTAAAAGCCTGATGAGCAAATTGTTTAATAAACTCCATTGCCATTTCATCGGAATCATAAGGATCTTGTGTAACACTAATAAATTAAAAATAAAATTAAATTAATACACCAAGATTATTAAATTTAAAACAAATTTACGTTTTTTTCGCCATAAATTCAGCTTCAATAGTGATCGTAATAATGCAGGATAATTCCTCTGTATACGGTTGTACCATAATATCCTGATTTAAAGATAAAACCGCCCATTTCCTTTGTGGTAAACTAAATCCAATCTGCCCTTTAGGTACATCGTAAGACGATTTAATAGAAAAAATGAAATGACCACTACCGGTGTTAACATCAATATGTCTAAAACACAAAAGTAATATTTGTAATTTTAATTATAAAGTTTTTTTTTAATTTACTTTGTTCCTGGAAAATCTGTTTCATTAGTAATCGCACAATTACTTAGTGATAGTTCCTCAGTGGGACATCTCGAAGCTTTATACATAGTCTAAAAATTAAAAATTATAAAGAGTTAACCTTAAATTTCGTTTGTATTGGTAGATAACGGATTTAAGATGTTATCTTGTGGAAAATTGTAATACTTGCCATGATGTCTCTGCCACAATTTTGGAAATTCACTAGAAAATACTTCCTCCTGCAATGCGGGAGTTATGGATTTATTCAATCAATAGCTCTAGAAACCAGACGAACACTCAAATTTGAGGGCAACATGAAACATCACTAAAAAATTATGAAATACTACTTTTTAAATGATATTTATGTTCAATTCGTTTCGTGTTAAGCTTATAATTGTAAATAAATGAAATGAGTGAAGTTTTCAATGTTTAGTTTTGATTTTTCAAAAACTGAAACGTGGACGATTTTTGGCGGGAAATTTAAATATTTCAATTGGTATGAGTAATATAGAAATGATTCTTTGTACTTCTAAATAAAGCGTTTTTAAACTCTGATTGAAAAATAATTTGATATGTGATCTAAAATTAACTACTATCTTAATTTTTATATTTATTATAAATATTTTGACTTTTATTACAAAATTATCATATTTAAATCACAAAATAATACAGAAGTGATAGAAACTGAACTGCTTTGTGCTCGTTTTTATTTAGATTTTATAATGTACAAATGTGAAGATCATTAAATGATATTAATTAATTACTACATAATCAAAAAATCTGGTCCACACACTTTAAATGATATTAGACCCGTATCGGTTCTTCCAGTTCTGTCTAAGGTACTGGAAAAGATACTGGCATCACAGTTGACGGGTCACCTAAATCAGTTTGAAATCTTGCCCGATTTGCAGTCAGGTTTTAGATCTGGCTACAGTTGTGCCACTGCGCTGGCAAACGTTATGGATGACATTGTTACGGCTAGGGATGCGGGATTAACTACAGTGCTTGTGCTTTTGGATTTTTCAAAGGCTTTTGATATGATTGATCATAGGTTGCTGCTATGTATGCTTCATTATGTTGGGATGGGCCGGTGTGGTGTTCAGTTAATGGATGATTATTTACGAGATCGTACACAGAGTGTGTTGTTTAGGGGCAGCCGATCCAGCAGTTTAAATGTGAAATCGGGCGTACCCCAAGGCTCAGTGCTTGGTCCACTGCTGTACTCGATATATACACTCAATATTCAAAAGTACATTCGTACCTGTCGCTATCATCTCTATGCGGATGATACATAGATAGATATATTACTCCTTTAAGCCATCGGATGTTGCGTTAGCTTCTAGTCAAATCAATCAGGACTTGAGCGGGATTCTCCGCTTTGCGGATGATCAGGGTTTAGTGGTAAATTCGGATAAAACTGTTGGTTTGGTCTTTGCGAATGGAAGGAATAAACTGGCTACGCAGCGGGATCTAGGATTGCTTATTGGAGGGGCTGAGGTGATGTATCAGGATTCGGTCAGGTATTTGGGAGTCTGGATAGAACGGTTTTGAATGTGAAACTTAGAAAATTGTTATGTGAGTCATTTGTACTATCACATTTTAATTACTGGGATGTACTTTATCATTCGTTTATAGATCAAGTTAGTGCTGGTAGAATTCAGAGAGTGCAGAATAATTGCTTACGATTTATCTATGGTATTAAACGTCGTCAGCATGTTTCTCATATGTTAGAGGTTTTTACATACCGCTTTGTTTTTTCATAGTGTGTTGACTTGGCGAATGCCTCCTTACCTGTACTGTCGTATAACTTATAGAACTGATATTCACAATCTCGGTACTGGATTCAGAGGTCAGATCGCAATTCCAAGGCATAAGACTCAATTATTTAAGAAATCATTTCCATACAATATTGCAAAGTATTTCACTGACCTTAATCGTTGCTTTTGTTTTAAGCCGAGATATGCATTTAAAAAGGCCGTCATAAAATATTTATCTGAGCTGCAATGAGGGTGGGTTCGTTAGATGTGGCAATGTTCAATGTGTTCAAATTAATCAATTGGTGGTACTGGTCAAAAGCTGTTTGAGGTATTTAGCTTAATGCATCTATATTGTTATCTATCTATAGTTTTTCTTTTTTTCTTTTCTGTGGGCTGCGTGGAGGAGTGGATCGTGACTATGTTACGAGCCAAACGCAGTCCATTTGGTTGCAACCCCGTTCTATTGTAATGTATATTGCTTTTGTAAATTTTTTTTTTTGTATATTCATGTTTGATTTTTTTTTATGTTAAATATGTAAAGTATGTGGGTTGTGTAAATAAATATTATTATTATTAATATTCTGATACTCTTTAACTTTTTGGTTCCTGCTTTAATCTTGCTATCAAAAGATTAAATACTGCTAGTAAAAGACTAAACATTTCTCGGAAAGAGGAAATACTATTTCAAAAAGTTACCTACTGCTTCTAATCCGGCTTTGGGCGGCTATTAAAAACCTATTACCTATTACTTAGTACTCCACCATTCACAGGAATTAATATCTCTTTTAGGTGTTGGATACTGCAGATAATAATCAAGTTCAACCCCAATAGGACTTTTTTAATTGAATACAACTTTATTTATATCAGGTGTGTCATTAGACTCATTAGCAACCTCATTGTAACAATCCCAATAGGATATATAAAATCTCTTGTTGCAGTTTCGTTCATGTTGCACATTCATTACTAACAGAACTGTCGCTGTTATCACTTTCGATTATTAATTAAAGTATCCTCTTTTTAATGCAACAAGCCGTTTTGAAAAATCGCTTTTAGTTTTTGAGAAATAAATTTTTGAAATGATCGACAATTTTTTCGAATTTTGCAATTTTCGATTAAGTTTTAAAAATTCATATAAAATCCAGTTCTTGGAATATGAGTTTGAAAATTTCCCAAAATGTTAATAAAAGTGTCCTCTTTCCAATGAACCAACACGTTTTGAAAAATAACTTTTAGTTTTTGAGAAAACAATATTTGAAGTTTTGATAAAATTTTCGATGTTGCAATTTTCATCGATAGTTTTCAAAATTCGCTATAAAATTAATTTCTTGAAGGATCCTTGTG